GGAACCCAAGGCATACAGCTTTCTGGTGGTATGGAACCCAAGGCATACAGCTTTCTGGTGGTATGACTTGCACTGCTGTAGCTACAGCAGGGTGGGACAAATGCCCGCATTTTTTAGCAGTTAGTTTATACAACTGCACAGGGCTCAGTCACTGGGAGATGACTAATGGCATCCAGGGCTGCTCTCAGCTCTTACGGTCCCCGTTCCCTTTTCAGCTTCCCTATGTTCTTCTATACCAAGTAGCACAGTGCATTGCAGTCACGCTTTTAAAGCTCTGCGTGAGGGTGGAGGGGGCAGGAGCAGGATGTCTCCCTGAAGCAGACCTGTTTGGAGTGCTGCTCTTTCCCTCAGCCAGCTGGACAGTTTGTTCTCAAAAAAAAAAAAAAAAAAAAAAAAAAGAGCAGAGAAAAACTTTGTAAAATCCTGAAGTGGTTTCTGTAGAGGGGTGACACATCTGAAATGAACATTCATGTCTAGTCTTTAGCAAAGCCAAAAGGCAAAACCATAGGTTCTGTATGGGCAGTGGTTGTGAAATGAGCATGGAGGAACACTTGTACAGAAGGGAGACCCGATGGAGGTTCGATGGGGAGAAGGAGAAAGGAGTTGGTCCTCTTGACTCGGTCTGCTGGGCAGCTCAGTGCCAGAGCAGCCTCCAGCTCCCCGCTGGTGGGGGCCGGTAGGCTTCCTGTTTGGACTGACTCGGGGGTGCTACCAAACTGTATTGCAAGGGAGAATTTCTGATTGACTGTAATGCCTATTTCTGTACAAACGTTGACCGTTAAATATTTTGTGCACCAGCATACTTTCAGGACAGATTGCCAGTCATCCTCAGTCGATAACGCATCGCAGCACTGCCTGGTGTGCTGAGGGACCTGATTGTGCTGAGTCTTCCCAAAGCCCCAGTTCAGATCCAGAACAGAGCTCCTTTACTTTTTAATTGGAAAAAGCTGCTCTTGTTCATCCAGAGTAATGTCCACACAGCTGATCATTCTAAAATAATTAACCCAGGATGTTTTATTCTAACACAGCTCTTCTGATTTATTTTTTGTCATGAGTATAGGAAAACAACCTGAGAAGATATGCTGAAGTTGATTGACGCTAAAAGGGGGAAAGAGAATGTTTCTGCAGACTTTTTCCTCCCGCAAAACTCTTGTCTGAGAGGATAGAGTGTACTGATGGTGTAATTTATTGTAATTATGCACAGATGTTACTTAGATCCAACTTGCAGTAAATTAAGCTGGTAGAAACTGCTTATTGCAAAGTAACGTTGAAGTCCCATTTAGCTCCTCAGCACTGGAATGTGCCGAATTTTGCTTGGAGTCAATCTGTATTGTGGGTGAGCTCCCAGCCAAGGAGTTGATGGTACTGGGCATGGGATCAGGCACTCACCTCTACTGCCACCAAGATCAAAAGTGCTTCTGTATAAAAAGAGTTACTTTAAATTAATTAAAAAAAAAAAAAAAAAAGCATACTCATTTTGTGAGGCAATTAAGAGGAATAATAAGATTGTGGTAGTGTACTGAATAAAGGAGTCTGCAGTGTGCTGTTTTGCAGCTTATGGCAAGCTGGGAAAGCAAAAAATGGAGTGGTGTGCTACAGCTTACAAGGATCTGCTGACAGGGAGCTCTGTGCTGCCACGTGGAATTGGTGGGCACTGTCTAGATCATGTATGCCTGATGCACACAGATCTTTGTTTCCTCCCAGACCATAGGAAGACATTGGAACAGTGACGAACTGAACTCCTCTAGAAAATAAGGCAGCTGAGTGTTCCGTGCATCCAATTGGTTCTTCTTGGTGAAACAGCAGAGAGCCCCAGTGCCAAGCTGCTGGGAAGAACCCTCGCTGCACACGGCATGCAGTGATGCTGGGCTGCAGGAATGGTGAACATAAAATGTTGGAACTGGAGAAGGGATGCGGTTAATTCTGATAGTTGTTATTTGGTAAAGCTTATATTCTCCAGACAGATACGGTAACGTGTTCTGCATTTGAGGGTGAGCTCTGAACTGTCTGGTAGTTGTGTAAGTAGTCGGGATGCTGCCCAGTGCTTTGATCAGGCTGCTGGCTCCAAGGAGATCAGCCTGCTCATCCAGCGTGCTACAGAGCTCCTCGCTGCATCTGTAAAAGCCAAAACGAGTATTTGTTTTTGCATCGTTAAATAGAGGTGGTACAATGGAGGCACCATGTTAGGGTCTGCTTTTCAGAAAACCGCTAAGCTACGGTAAACACAGCAGTCCCGTAGATGAGCAGGTGCTGGTAACATGACCTGGAACCGAAAGTGAAATTGTTTCTAGCTGGCCAAGTCCTAAGAATAAATAAGGAGAGGGAGGCGCGCCGTCCTCCTGCCCCGCTGAGCAGCCTGGGGGCCCGCTCAGGGTTTGTTTCCCTGGCACTCGGGGGTGCGCGACCGGCAGGCACCGCCGCTGCCCGGTTCCGCCCGGCCGAGCGCTGCCCGCCGATTCTCGGAGCCGGGTTTCCCCAGCCCGCCCGGGGCTGCGCGGCCGCTGCAGCTTATGCCGCCGGGCCGGACGGGCCCCGCAGCGGGGCGGGCGCTGCAGCCGGGCGGGGCGGGGCGGGCCGAGGCCAGGTGGGGCGCCGCGGCGGAGCCGTGCGGGTGCCGGCGGGAGCCATGCGCTGGGAGCGGACGCTGCTGCTCCGCACGGCCAAGGTAGCGGCGCCGCGGACGGGCTGCGCTGGGGGTCGGGGTCGGCCGGGCCGCGCTCGGTGGCGCTGAATGAACCGCATTGGAGAACGGAAGGTGTCACGGCTCTGCTGAACTGCCGGGCTGCTTTTTTTTATCCCAGCCGAGGGGAGAACTTCAGCGCTTACTCTGGTTACTTACTATGGTTCCTTCGTGGTGAATAGTTAAGCTTTTAGGAAAAAAAAAAGTTTCTTTGAAACTTGTCTGTCCTCGTGCTTGTAGGTGCCCACTCGCTCCTGTTGCTGGCTGCACACGGCATGCTGAGAGCCTGAGGCCTCAAGTTTGCTCTAAGCACTGACCTTTGTAGATCTTTTGCTTTTTGATAACTTCTGTTACTGTCTTGCTTTCTGGTAAATACACAAAGTGCTGAGAATTACTTGACTCACTATATACTTAAGCTGCAACGGTTTTTCTCTTTCACAGTTGCCTTCTCTCTCGTTCTGTTCCGTTGCTGTCTGAGCTGTGGCTACATATCGATACTTTGTAGGTACCAGTCTGTGAACCAGGATTCTCTGTCTTGCTCTGGCTGCTCAGGGCCGTCAGCTGTCTTAAGCATTTGAGAGTTTGCCCTTTTTCTCATCTTTTGTTGGATGTCTGTAAAAAGCGTGAAGCTTATGTTTTACTTTTAGAAGATCAGTTTATTGATGCTGTACTTTGGCCAGCTGAACAAAGGTGCATTTTTGCGGACTTACATCCTTGTCAGTTTGATTGGTACAAAAAAGAACAGCTGGACTTTAGTGCTCACATTTATCTTTCTCCTTGTCTAGATTGAACGACTGGAAGTCAGCAGCCTAGCACAGACCTCCAGTGCAGTGGCCTCAAGCACTGATGGCAGCATCAATGCAGACTCTGTCGATGGCACCCCAGATCCGCAGCGTACAAAAGCAGCCATCACACACCTGCAGCAGAAGATACTGAAATTGACCGAGCAGATCAAAATCGAACAAACGGCCCGTGATGACAATGTGGCAGAGTACCTGAAGCTAGCCAACAATGCAGACAAGCAGCAGAGCGCCCGCATTAAGCAGGTGTTTGAGAAGAAGAATCAAAAGTCTGCCCAGACGATCTTGCAGCTGCAGAAGAAGCTAGAACATTACCATCGAAAGCTGCGAGAAATCGAACAAAATGGGATCCCTCGGCAGCCAAAGGATGTCTTCAGGGATATGCACCAGGGATTGAAAGATGTTGGAGCGAAAGTCACTGGGTTCAGTGAGGGAGTAGTAGATAGTGTTAAAGGTGGGCTTTCCAGTTTCTCCCAAGCCACACATTCAGCAGCAGGAGCTGTGGTTTCCAAACCCCGGGAGATTGCCTCTCTCATCAGGAACAAGTTTGGGAGTGCGGACAATATTGCTAATCTGAAAGACTCCTTAGAAGAAGGCCAGGAAGATGGGACAGGAGGCAAGGCTCTAGGTGTTATCCAGAACTTTCAGTCAAGCCCAAAATATGGCAGTGAAGAGGACTGCTCCAGTGCTACGTCAGGCTCAGTGGGAGCCAACAGCACAACAGGGGGCCCTGTGGGAGCTTCCAGCTCCAAAACAAACACTCTGGATATGCAGAGCTCAGGGTTTGATGCAATACTACATGAGATTCAAGAAATTCGAGAGACACAGGCAAGACTGGAAGAGTCATTTGAGGATCTTAAGGTTCGCTATCAGAGGGATTACTCATTAATAATGCAGACTTTGCAGGAGGAACGGTACAGGTAAGTACTTTTTTACTAGTTTCCGTATTAAATGCTGTGGGTATAGAGCACGGGAGTCCTGGAGAGTAGTGCTCTGCAGCCTGGTTCAGGTGGGATGCTCTGCAGTCAGTTTGGGATTTTGCTTTCCTAATATTGTCTTTTGTAAATATCCTTATTCTGCTGCTCATTTTCCTCTCTCTACAAGAAAGGAATAGCAAGAATAAAGGTCATTTCATACTTTTTTCCTCATAAGAAGTCAAACCAAAGAAGTTAGAAAGGTGTCCCCAGGAAACAGGAGTACGTTGATTACTTTTAGCCAGGCAGTGCTTTGCCCATGAAAAAGCCTGTGAAGGTCTGGGGTAAGGCAGGGTTCAAGTGGATTCAAGTGAATAGTATTCTGACCCTGACCCTTCCAGTGCTCAGAGCTGTGAATCTACAAGGGAAGAACATATCCAGCTTTCTTAGTCTATAAAAATATGTGCTTTTCCCTTATACCAAAACTAGAATTTACATTCTTGGCTCTGCTCCACCGTGGCAAAGTTCAAATAACTGAAGGTAAATGGAAAGTTAGCTAATGGCAATGTTCTTGTCATGGAGGTAACATGGCTCTGGAGGTGGACCAGCCCCATGCTTTGGTCACTCTTTGCCTTGCTGGAAGGACTGGGGAAGCAGTGAGGCTGCTGCCACAGTGCCAGTCTCCAGCACTCCAGCACTGCAGGATATATAGAATCCCCCTCATCAGAGCAGAGGCTGCTCCCCAGCTCCACAGGGGCAGGAGGAGGGGATAGCTAGAGGCTGCCTCTCTGCCAGGCCCCCCCAGGACACCACAGCCTAAATGCAGTGTGACTCTTCTAGTGCACTTTAAAAACTTTACATGAAAAATGCAAGGGACCCAACTCCTCATTCTGATAGAGGACAGCAGGCTTTTGTGAAAAGCTTGTTTGTGGCCTTCATCACTCAGACCAGGCTGGAAAGCCTATGAGGCTCAGCACACCTGTCAGGTTTGGGGACAGGCTCTCTGAAGTACTCTGTGCCATTTGCTGCCTCAGTTTGATTTGCTCCATGCTTCATAGTCACTCTACAGCTTTTCAGACATGCCGGTGCCAGATCATTGGAAAAACATTTGAAAAGGCTTAGCCTGCTGGGATGTTGTAGTGACAGCAAGCTTTCTGTGTGTTTTGCAAAGCTTAGCTAGACAAAGCCAAACCAGCATCACTTTCTAATTCCACGTCGCCACAGTCAGCAATTTGAGTGAAACCGGAGCCCAGCACAGCAACTTTGGTTCCTAGTACCTCACTGTCATCAGGTCACATTGTGAAGAGAAGGGGAGATAGCGCTTCCTCTCCACAGCAGAGAGGGGTCTTGTTTGGTGCTGTGTGGGTTGTTGTTTTGCACATACAGCAGCAGCCATTCATAGTGGAACGCTATATGCAAGCACTATGCAGCTGAAGGAGTGGCCTGAAACTACAACAAAGGAGCTTGGCTGGGGACTAATGTGTGTTGGCAGCTAAGTGGACTAGTATTCCCTGACAGTGTTCAGCAAAGTTCACGGAGGTCCTTCTGTGAGCCCAGCATGAAGCCCTCAGGGTAAATCTAGCATCTACCCTCTAAAGCAGCCTTGAGTGAAGAACTTTCAGGAGAGTCTGTATTTGATATATACAGAAAAAAGTACGGTGGTTGAGACTTGCCATTGGAAAGCTCATGCAAATGAGTGGAAGGTGTGACCTCTAGAGAGGACTGGTTGAACTACGCTAAGTGCTCTGCAGGCTTTCAGAAATGAGCAGGTAACACAAGGAGCTCGTGTATTAATACATGGAGAGAAATTGTACGAGTCTAGGTTCTTGTTTGGCAGCCTCATTTTTTAAAATATCGGGAAGACAAAAGCCAGGAGGGCAGTGGTGACATGTGACAGCAGAGAAGATGTTCCTGTCCTGTGTGGAAAGCTGGCACTTGTTCCTCTGGCCGTTAACCCTTCCTTTCCTTCAGAAAAAGAAAGGAAAGATGGAAGTGGAAGCTGACGTTCAAGATGGGGGACTCAAACTAATCATAGCCTGCCTTTGAAAGCTATTAACGCCTCGTAACTCTGCTGTATTTCTGGATGCTTTCAAAAACAAGCTCTGAGCCCAAGTTTGAGTTTTTAAAAATGTGTATTTTAGAGAAGCCTTTGCTAATAGGGCTGTGTGGAATATTTGCATCATCTGTGTAAACTGGAAGAAACAAAACAGATTGTGATGTTTTCTCATCCAGTCTTGGTCCGTTTCCTTGTTCTTAGATGTTCTGCTTTTCTGCAGGTTCTAGTGTGTTTTGTCTGCATACTCATTTTGTTTCTGCTTATCAGCCAAGGTTCTGACTCGCTGGTGTTCCTTGACCTGCTCCATCTGCCTCCAGTCCCCATTCAGCTCTCCTTGTCAGCACAGCTGCTCTGTCAGCCATCTCCGCAGGCTCCACTGGTGCAGCCACCCCAGCCCTTGGCCCAGGGGATGCTGGAGCGGCCTGGCAGCACCCGGGAGCACATGTTGGCAAAGGGTGGCCCCACGGGTCGTGGAGGCAGGAGGACTCTGGCCTGCACCTTTGCGCTCACTGTGTTGCCTCCACGTTGGGAACGGGCCCTGCAGCAGCCTGCTGCTTATCTCAGCAGTTGGAAGGTGGCAGTTGTTTACTGATATGAGCAGGGACTTTCTGTGCTATTGAGACTGACATAAAAGTTCCTGCTGAGTGTTTTCATCTTTCTTGTCCCTTCAGGAACCTGTTTGTACACAGTAAAATAATGAGCTCATGGGATTGGAGTGTGGCCATACTGAGGTCTTGGGCTCCTTCCCAGCCCGGCATCCTTGGAAAGTGTGTTCTGATCCCCCACGTTCCTGTCAGAGAAATCCACCAGCTGAAATGCTGGGAGCTCACACTATCCTTGCTGTCATTTTGTTGTTGGGCTTCAGTCTGTTCTCATTTATTTTAAAATAGATCAAGTGTGCTAAAATTCTGGGACTGGAAGATTGAACGGTACAAGCTAGGGCAGCGAATGCTTTGTGCTCAACATAGAAGGATCTTCACCCAAGTATGAAGCATTGAGGTGCTTACACAAAGCTATTTTCTCTCACCAGAGGAGGTCTTGAAGCTGGAAGCACAGCGTGAACAGTGACACAGAGCAGCTCTGCCCCTCGAGCGTTGCTTAGGTAGAAGTCTTGGAATATGCTGCTAATAGGTATTGCTTTTAGCTATGCTGCTCTGCTGTTGGAAGCAGTGTGTTCAGCAGCACGAAAAACGCACTTGAGAAGTAAAAGTTGGGTGATGTTCTGTAGGACGTGGCCCCTCCCTCCACAAAAATGGTATCTCGAGAGCTGTTTGAAGAGATACTAAAATACGGTTGTTTCTTTTTAAAGAAACAGGATTTAAGCTGCTTAGCAACAGCTGTTTTGTGAAGGGTGTTTATGTAGGAGGTTAAAGTATATACTCATGGTGTTTTCAGAAACGGTTTAGTTCCTTTTGGTGTGAAAACCCACTGGAGGACTTTAAAATACATTAGCAAATGGAATATGTTTCAAGTGATCTGTGCTGCCTTTGGGACTCCTGAGTGAGTTTAGTTGTGCTTTCTTGGTTGATGGCAAGTTTTTTGTGGTTTTTTTGTTTGTTTGTTTGTTTTTAAATGAGGTGGAAACAAATGGCAATGTTAATTATCTGAGTTCCTTCTTCATTAGCCAGTCTTCACATGGCTGCTCTCATGCTCAAGCTTGTAGCTCCTGGGAAACCAGTTCCCTCGTGTGCCCTGCTGCAGTGGCACAGCAGCCCTGGCACCTCAGGGTCAGCTGGGTTCTGTCTGGGGCTCACTGCTGCTCAACCACTTGTTGGAAACTGCTCTGCTGAGCCCGACTCCTCCTTTTCACTTTAAGTAATTGGAGCATTGAGAATGTGAATGAAAATTCGCTTCAGACTTTTCAGTTTAAAATAAAAACCCCAAAGCATTGTTCAGTACTAGCTTCTGCCTGCGGATTCTGACTATGTAGCTCATGAAGCACTGAAAAACTTGGGGGTTGGGGAAGCAGAATTTTTGGTTTACTTTCAGAACTTAAATTCTCATTTATAGAGAGGTGGTGCTTATTTGTTTTATGTGTGTATGTATGTACATCAATTAAATTAGGGTTGGGGTCAGAGGGGGACAGAAATTAAGGAATTATCTGTGTTGAAATCCGTTCAGATTTCTCTGTTAGTAGTATCAAGAGCAAACGATAAGAGCTGTACTTTAAACTTTTTCCAAGCTGTTACAGTGGACTCAGTCAGTGGAAATCAGAGTGGGAAGAGCACGGTGGCTGCAATAGTTGTACCCATACCTTCCTTGCCATCAGGGCATTGCTGATAACGGACCAGGAATGAGGAAGCACAGAGGAGAAGGCCGGTGTGTCAGCTGTTCTCAGCCCTGGGCTGAGCTCTCTTCATGTTTACCTTTGGGAACAAGACAAACACTTGCCTGATTTTTAAAGCATATTGAAACATGAGTTGCTAGTAAAGGGCTTGAAATTCCAAGGGTGAAGTGCTGCATACAAATACAAAATATCCCTAATGGATTTTGAAGATTCTGAAATGAGGTGAAGCTGTTGCTGAAGTCGGTTTAAAACTCAGTGAGAAACGAAGCTTTCTCAGAAATGTCATCAATACTTTTCTGAGCAGCCCTCTTCTGCCAAACTGCTCTCAGACTGCTCACCACAGCAAACTGAAAAATAAGCCTGCAGTTCAGTGATTCATGTGTCCTTCTTGTAAGTAATGCAGTGGTCTTTGCTAGTTAAGCTGAATCATTTGCAAGAGATTAAAAATACATCAATAAATCAGACTTCTGTGCAGTCTCGTGTGTAAAGACTAGAAAATGCTATCATGTTCTCCAAGGCATATAACTGCATATAATTTCATTGTCATTTTTATTGCAATTACTTTTCAGGCGTAGAGGAAATTGCTTAAGTTAAGTTTATAGTGTTAGAAGGGAACTTATTCAGGTTAAAACAAAAGTTTGAAGAATAAATACGCTAATTCTGCACTTGATTTCTTCCATCTCTTTACAGTCGTCATTTCTGCTCTCTGCTTGTTTTTCCCTGGCTCAAAACAAGACTAATGCTATCTTACCTGGTAGAAGGGCTTTCTTGAATTCTCGCTGGAAGGGCCTCACATTGTTTATAAAGCAAAATTCTGTAGGCACAACCATTTTTAAATGACAAGTCTGTCACTACTCAGTTACTTGGTCTAACAGTTGCCTCCCTCTTCTCAATAAAGCTGTTGTACCATGTCATCTCATTTCTAGATGTGAAAGACTCGAAGAGCAGCTAAATGACCTGACTGAGCTCCATCAGAATGAGATCCTGAATCTGAAACAGGAGCTGGCCAGCATGGAGGAGAAAATTGCCTATCAGTCTTATGAGCGAGCCCGGGACATCCAGGTGGGTGACAGAAGTGGGAGCACTGAAGTCTGGTCTTCCACCTGCTCCCTCAGTAACTGTTCTTTAAATACTTCTTTGATTCGGAGTTTGTTGTAAATCACCGTAGATTTATTGCTAAACTTTACGCTGAAGATTTCCGTAAGATCTTTATTCAGTCCCTGACCCCCAGATGTCTCCCCAAATAATTATTTTGCAATGAAAGGCTGTGCACATTCAGTGAGCAAATTCTTCCTGAGGGGACCTCCACTCGTTCAGAGAAGGGTTTTACAATGGCTGATAGCACAGTGGAAGCCTGCATTCACTTTTTATGCTGGCTCGATTTGCAGGGTTTTGTTTGGATATTGGAAATTAATGGTCTCTGACCTGAAGTTTTGTTTTTTATTCTTGTTTTTTTGTTTTGTTTTGTTTTGTTTTGTTTTTTTTTTTACAATAATGTTCCCAGTGAACTCATTTGGGATGCATTTCTGTGTCATGAATTTTAGAACAGTCACCAAAGACATCTCAGGAAAAATGCAGTTGGCTTTGTGTATCCACTGCATTTTGTCAGCAGTTATTTCCGTTGGTTTGCCCAAATACACAGTTAGTTTTGAAAGAAAGTTTTCTTCAGTGTTTTAAGGACCAAAGCTAAGGATAGTCTGCGATGGGAGGGCCTTCCATGGGCAGACACAGGGCAAAGACCTGGGCAATGATCTGAGCAGCAGCTGGACCTTGTCAAGGCCTACTCAGAAACAAATCTGTCATCTATTTTAAATTCTTGTCGCATTTGCTTTAGCAGGCATCTCAGCGTAGATAACTGATGTGAGATATTTATAACGTGAGTGGAGAACTGTAGGTCAGAGTTCTCCCTTTCCTCCTCTGAAGGAGTTCCACCCAGGTGAGACAAGGCAGGCCTGGCTTGTGGCACTGGTAGGTTCAGCTGCAAGGCGAGTTGAGTCAGTGTCCGTTTTGGGGTCCTTGCTTCTTGCAGGTGTTGTTTGGTTACCTGTTATCTTCAGGTGGCATAACTAAAGAGAAGCCCTTGTGCTTCATTGACTTCCACAGATGATACACAGAGGCAGAGAAATGTAACAGATGGCAGTGACCTTTAAGTTCAACATAAATCAGTGTCTGTGGCCGCTGGCAGTAAACAGCAGTCTCTCCCTTTGGGAAATGTTGCAATATTCACATTTTATCCTCCTTTATTTTTTCCTCCTTCAGCAGCAGGAAAAGTTGAGGTTGGAAACTTAAACTGAAGAGGGATATTCTCAATAGCTTCTTCTATCCTTCATTCCTTGGCTCATCACTTTTAGTATAAACTTTAGTACAAATACGGACCGGCTGGGGGAACGATAAATATTCAGTTTTCTTGCATGAAGGAGCAGTGGGGGGCATAGGCTGGTGCTGCAGAGGAGCAGCAACAGAGCTTGGTCTGCAGGCACAGGTCCTGGTTCTGATTTGATCATCAGTCTGGGGGACATCGCTGCTCTGCTCAGACTTCTGACTATTACCAAAGTCAGCATTCAGGTCCTGGGAAAAGCAGACCAGAGGGAGCATTGAGGGCGAAATTGTAACTTCATATCTCTGCGAGCAAATTGCCTTAAGTTCCCCTACTTGTTCTAACCCACCCACTGGCTGTTGGTGGTGGGTGTGTTGGCCAGGTGTGGTAGCAGCTACTTCTCCTGGTTGCCAACTGGGCAGCCCCAGCCCTGCATCCTCAGAGCTTTCCCTGGGCTTGTTCAGCTCAGTAGCCAAGCAGGATGCAGCTGAGCCTTTTCAGTTAGTTGTTGCTGTTTCCTTAGTATTGTGCCAGATTGAATAGAGGGTTGAATGGGAGTTAGGTGAGCACAAACCAGAGGAAAAAAATGATGGAAATGAGAGGCATCCACATAGGATGAGGAGTGCTGGAGGAACACAGTGCCTTCATCCCCTCAGGGGTCTCTTGAAACAAACTGAGATGGGCAGCCCTCCTTTCAAGTAGGTGAAGTCTGACTGCTTGCTGAGGGCTCTGTCTTCCTTCCTATGGATCTGACCACAAAACAGGGAGGGTGATAAGGCCTCTGCCGTGTGCGAGGACAGACAGCTTATGTGCAAAGCGTTGTAACAGAGCCTGGCTTCTGCCAAAGCTGTCACCTAACGCCTTCAAGACTTACTCAGGGGAACGAGGTCACACGGTGTCTTACACACTGCTGCACTTAGTTGGTGAGGGCTCCTCAATCACGTGAAGTGGCGCCGCCTCTTCTCCTGCTGCAGGACATGAAATCAGCGTCGTGACTTACATCCTGCAGGAGGTGCATGAGGAAGGTGGCCCTGCTGTGGTTTGGTTGCTAAGATGAGAGCCCTGGGCTGCTGCAGCATCAGCCCGTGGGGCGCTGGAACCGAGCGGTGTGTTCTTACCTACAGGAGGCCCTGGAAGCGTGCCAGACCCGCATCTCCAAGATGGAGCTACAGCAGCAGCAGCAGCAGGTGGTGCAGCTGGAGGGTCTGGAGAATGCCACGGCCAGGAACCTGCTGGGGAAGTTTATCAACATCCTCCTGGCTGTCATGGCCGTCCTCCTTGTCTTCGTCTCCACTGTGGCCAACTGCGTCGTGCCCCTCATGAAAACTCGCAATAGGACGTTCAGCACTTTATTCATAGTGGTTTTAATTGCCTTTTTGTGGAAGCACTGGGATGCCATCTCTGGCTACTTGGAACGGTTTTTGTCTCCCCCCAGATGATGCCATGAGGAATCGGCTGCATCGCCCCCTCCCAGCACACTCGGTGAGCAAGCGTGGCAAAGATTAGTCAGCAACTACGCCGCTGAAGTTTTAAAGTGTCTGAGTGAATTTGTTTACATTTAGAATAACGTTTTTTCTCTGCGAGATGCATTGCAATAGTATTTTTTAGATTTTATTCAAGAACTCTTTTTGGCGAGAATCCCGGATAATTTTTATGTAGCATGGTTCTCTTTGGATGCAAATCTTAAGATTCTTTAAAGTGTACAAAATAAATAAAATACCGAAATTTGGAGCATACCAATGGGCAACTTAAACTGTGGCTTGAACTACTGTACTAAACCTGTCAGGAAGAGGAAGAATGTGATTAACTTAAGATGAGCAAAACTAAATGTAGTGCACGCAGCCTTGAGGGATGGTACCACAGCAAACCTGTAACACTAAACTTTTACTGTGAAGTCTGCTCACATTCCATGTCCAAATGTATGGGTTTGGAGTGGTTTCTTTACAAGACAACAAAACAACGTGTGGATCTCTTTCCCGACCCAGCGTCGGGTTTGCCATTCGTGCTGACCTGACTGAACAGTGACTTTCTATAAGGCTGGTTAACTGCTAAGTGTATGAAGTGGAAGCCTCGTGCCACATACAGAAACTGCACAGTCGTGCTGCAGTATTTTGAAGTAGTCCTTGAAACACTTACCTTTAAGCAAAGCCCTTGGTCGCACTTTTAAGGTTTTTTTTTAATGTATGTATATTCACAGATTTAAAAAAAAATCCAAACAGCATACTTGAAGAGTGTTATACTCAAACTCTCAGTGCTTCCTTATTGTTTCTAATAGGATTTTTTATTATTATTATTATTATTATTATTATTATTGGGTTGTTGGTTTTTGTTGTGTTTTTTTGTTTTTTTTTTAAAGGGGTTGGGAGGGTCATTGCTTTTTTTTTTTTTTTTTTTTTTTTTTTCCTTTTAAATAAAGAAGTGATGTTTTTAAATGAAGAAATGCGTGAATAATTGTAAGCTGTCTTGTCCTGAAACAGTTTTGAGGAGGACAGACGGTAGTTTCTAGTGCCAGCCTGTCTGGAGCACAGTGCTGTTCATATGCCATTTCTGTCCTCCTGAGCACACAGATGCAGCATCAGGAAGAACATCCATAACATCCATCCTCTCCGCACTTTCTTGTCAGGCAGGTGTTTGTTTTTTTTTTTTCTTTTTCCAAATGTGAAAGAGAATACATGTATATTTCTTGCTTCAACATCATCTTTCATTCCTGGCCTCGGGTTCAGAATAGGGAATTTCTTTGCATACCTTCCTAGGCAACATTCTTTTAAGAAAAGAAGTGCTGAATCAACAGTGTGCTTACAGGAATGATTGCCTCAGAAATATTCCTGATTCAGTTTTTAAATAAACTCCTAAAGAGTGAAACCAAAGTTTTCCTCCTGTCAGGCTCTAATCAGATCATCTGTGTAGAGATTAGTAGACTGTACCTGTATAGTGTGCCATAGACAGCATCCTCTTCTTTGTCTGTGAGGGCAAGCACTTGTGTAGCTACACTGTCAGAGCTCTAAAGGAAACGTCAGCTTCAGCCGCACCCTCGCAGGCCCAGCAGTGCTGCTGTTGCTGACGGCTGTTGGCACTGGCAGGCAAGGCTGCATGGCGAAGGAATACGGATTCACTCTGTTTTCTGTAAAGTTTGGTGCCCCTTTCTGGCGTTACAGTGTCAGCATACAGCTTCCATCTCCGTGAAATGTTAACAGGCTCCAGGAGTCTTTCAGCACCGTTTGTGGTGGTTACTCAGATGTGCTGTTATTCTTCCCTCCAGGTTTGTGTTCTCTCTAGGAACTAAATGTTGCTCAGGTGACCTAGACCAGTTGAGATCATACATACACATACATGGAACATGTGCATTATATATACTGTACTTGTATATGTGTATATGTGTGTGTGTATATGTATATATGTATATATATGTGTGTATGTATATATATATATATATATATATATATATATAATATATGCCATGCTGTGATGCAAATTGTGGCCTCTAGAAATTCCCCTGAACTAGGTTAACTGGCTGCTGGCTGCTGTAAGCCCTCCACAGCTCACTCATTCTTCGGAGATTCTTTGTGTGTTTTCCATACTCACAAAAAACTCAGGTACCCTTGCAGGGATCCCAGCACGCCTGCCTTTGTCACTGTATGCACTGATCTGCTCCTGTCGTGCTTCAAGCGCAAATTGCCAATTGCAGTTCCTTAAGCCAAAAAGAATTGTTCTTCTCACAGAGCTGCAGACAGAGCAAAGGTTGCATAACCATTCCCCCTCTGGACAGTTCTTCTAGCTCAAGTGAAACTGCATTCTGTTTACCATCCTTATCTGGCTGGTACAGATTACATGGATAATCATCTTCTTCCGTTAGGTTTTGTCAGAAATAACAGCATGAGTAACAGTGAGAAATAATTTGGTACATAACAGAAAAGCGTTGTTGCCTTTATTTGTGGTTCCTGGCCTCTGCGCCTCTGTTTTCCTCCGTTTTGGTCACTCTAAAAGAGCTCACGGTAGGTTTTCCTGTGGTCAAAGCAGGAGGCAATTGGAAGCCAATGGATTTGGAGGCTCAGTGCCGCTCATCTGTAGTATCTGAAGGCAGTGATTGTCTTTCTTCTTTATATCCTAACTTCATTTAGTGTCTCAACTGTGTCACGGTCAGTAAATGCCGTCTGCTGATTTGCCAGGTGTAGGCTTGATAGAAACTGATCACCTCAAAACTGTTTGGCGAAGGCCACAGGTGTGTGGCTCTAGGCTGCGTCTGTCTGTGTCTCTTTCTCTCTCGACACCTTTTTTCCATTCCAGAAAGTCATCTGCAGTAATGCCACATATGATGCTGCATCCACTTTTCTTATCCTAATAGGACTGCCGTGTGTTTTGCCTTTTGCGCTAGCAGAATGTTTTGGGTTCCTCCCTCTTCGATTTGAAGGTCGGTGACGATTTCTGATAGGTTAACAATGATTATATTGTTGGAAATGTGATTCTAGCTTTAAGGCTCCCTTTCCCTGTAAGTGGTTGTGTTTGCTTTCTTGATTAAGCATTCCTGGATGATGCGTAGAAGAGTACGTGGTGTGGGTGTGCACGTGTGAGTACCTTTTGTGGGCCTCCTTATGGGCGTACACTATTTTAGTGACCATCTCTGAGTTGCAGAATGTTTTCCCCAACATTTCCTATTCAGAGTTGGAACAATTCTGGAATTATTTGGACGTGTTTAGCGCATATCAGCTTGGGATATGAAAAGGGAAGAATGCAATGGACTGTGGTAGTTGGGGAAGCAGCAGCTCTTCAGAGAAATTCTGAGGTTCGAGTGAAGCTCATCTGTTTTTTCCTATTTGTTTTCTCAATGTAAAAAAAAAAAAACCACAAAAAAGTCGTCTTGATGCAAAAAATGGCTGGTTTTGATTTGATGAATTTCCCTTTCAGCTTCATTAGTTTAGTTTAATGATACTGAGCATGCAGATACAGCAATGATTTCATTGGTTTATTCCAGTCCTGTGAGTTTTAGGGTCTGATCAGATTAATTATTGAGTTCTGTACATGTTGCACTGGGACAGAAAAACACTGTCTTTCAGCTTTGACAAATATGCATTTTTTTAAATTAAACAAAAAGGCAGCATTATAACAAAATAAGCCAAGCTACAAAAGGGGTCCGAGGTTGGGTAATTCTGACAGTTTTTAAGTGAATTCTGAATGTGGCTAAAGAGTTAAAGCCGTGTGTCTGTGTCGTGTATGCCAGGTGGTGTAGTGGTAGGCAATTGATTTAGCTGTAAGTGTGTTTCAAAAGTGTAAAAAATAAACTGAAAAACTCACTTGCACGGATTGAAGAGTCCAGAGGTGACACATGTGAACGTAACACTGTAGTTTGTAGATCTTAAGCTGCTAATCGTTGAGAGAGATTTACATTTGTCTTGTCTGATTGTTGCAGATTTATCTGTGACACATTTACTGTATATAAAAAAAAAAGTAAATAAAGACCTCAGCTATTAACACTGGATTAATTGGAATGTTTTCATGGGGCTGTGGGAGAGGAGTAAAGAAAAATAGGGGGTGGGGAGAGGGTGGAAAGTGCATTGAGCCCTAATAGCTCGAGTTTGATTGCGCCCTCCCCTGTAAGAGCTTCAAGTTTGATCAAGTTCTCTTCTTACCAAGCTTCCATCCCACGGTGGGCCAGACCCACCTGCCTTGGTGAGAATGAAGGGGCCCCGACTCCGGCAGTTCAGCACAGCTCAGCGCAGGCACCGCAGCTCCTGCGGGTACCAGACTGTGTGTGTGTGCATGTGTGTGTGTCTGTATGCGTGTGTCTGTATGTGTGTGTGTGTGCATGTGTGTGTGTCTGTATGCATGTGTACATGTATGTACACTCATCCGGGCATGCTGCCTATTTCAGAGAGCTGTATGGATCCTGGCTGTAACGGATGGGCCGGGGTGGCTCTCACGTGTTTGGTTCTTTTCTCTATGGGTTGGTAGGATGAGCTCGGTGCTAAGCTGCCCATGCAAAGGGGGCTGTGCTTGTGGGGCCCGGGCGGCACAACAGCACTTCTGCCGAGGCACCCGGGCCCTGAGACTCGAGCGGTGAATCATCCTCACTTCAGTTATTTTAAAGGATTGTCGTCGTTCTAATCCGATCTACGCTCATCTGAAAAAGCCCCAGGCGCGAAGCTGCGTCGGAGCGTCGCGCAGCTGCGGGTGCTGCCCGTCGGGCCGAGGAGCGCGGGACGCGGGGCGCGAGGCGCCCACGACGCCGATGTCCGTTCGCGCGCGCCGCCCCGGTCTCTGGCGCCACCTGGCGGCCGCGCGGCGGCACCGCGCCCTGTCCTGCGCCGCCGTCCGCCCGGCCCGACGTCGCCGCCGCGGTCGCTGCAGAATTACCGCGCTGGTCGCTGCCGCTCGGATCCGCGCCCGTGTGCACGAGAGCCTAGCAAGGGCCCGCTGCAGCCCGGCGGGAGCTGCTCCGCGCGCGGCGGAAGCCCGCACGCGGCTCTCACGGCGCTGAGACGCGGTGGCGGTTGTGACTGCAGTGAGAGTTATTTGCCCGACCCCGAGCTTTCCTCTCCTCCTCTCGCAGGGTGCCTGGCGTCTCCTAAGAAGTAGCAGAGCGCTGTTCGCTGCCTCACCCGACAAAGCCGAACCATCCCGGCCTCGCTGAGTTACGTCTGCCCCGGGCCGCCCCGTGCGGCCGTGTGCTGCCACGGGGAGCGCAGGTAAAAGGCGCCTTTGCTGCGCTGCAGGACAGGCTCCGGATAAAAAAAGGAAAATCGAGAGACTGGGAGGTCTCTAGGGCCGGGATGGAGAATGCACAGAACAACGGCCACATTGATAGAGCCCCGAGACCTGCTGTGGCTGGGACGGAGGGACCTTCCCTGCACCATGGAGTGGTGCATGTATGGAGCCGCAGGGATGCTGTAAGGCTGAGCAGCCTTAGGATGCTCTCTCCTGTCATTAGAATGCCCCTCATCTCCCTGCCATGTCCCTCACCCCAGGTGCTGCTTACTGCCAGTGCCTTCTGCCAGGTGCTTGCAGTGTCACTAATCAATGGGGCCTGGTGGACAAAGCCAGCACCGCAGTGGGGGAGATGGCATCGCCTCCAGGGCGAGGATGGGGTTCAGTTGGGGCTGCAAAATTGGCATCCTGTGTTTCTGACAGGGCACTGGTGGGGAAACACCTCATAACAAGACACATCCCTCCAAGCTCACAGCGTAGTGCGAAGACCAGAGAGCCTCAGTCCCAGTGGCAGCAGCAGAGCAGCCCTGTTTGTGCTCCAGGAGACTCTCCAGGCAGTGCCTCACCCCTTGGACTCATGGGCTGAGCTGCTCTTATTGCCAAACTTTCAATTTCCGCTACTTGTGGCCAT